CCTAGATGAAATTCTCCTCAAATTTGTTTTCCTAAGGAGTGAATGGAGTGCTCCCTAAAAAGCTGAAAAACTGGTACCTACTGATGGTCATAGTAGAAGCATCCACAATAGCCAAAAAGTGGAAATAATCCACATGTCCATCAACAGATGAATGAATAAAGAAAATGTGGTATATTTATACAATGAAATATTTTTTTTGAAGATATTATTTATTTATTTGACAGAGAGAGAGTCAGCGAGAGCAGGAACACAAGCAGGGGGAGTGGAAGAGGGAGAAGCAGGCCTCCCGCAGGAGCAGGAAGCCTGATGCAGGGCTTGATCCCAGGACCCTGGGATCATGACCTGAGCTGAAGGCAGCCGCCTAACGGCTGAGCCACCCAGGTGCCCCTATTTATACAATGAAATATTATTTGGCCTTAAAAAGGAAGGAAATTCTGACACATGCTATAACATGGGTGAAAACATTCATTAGGGAGTGGGGAGGGGAGGATGAGGCACCAATATTTAATGGATACAGCATTTTAGTTTGGGATGCTGTAGAGTTCTGAAGATGGATGGTGATGATGGTTGTGCAACAATGTGAATGTACTTAATGGCACTAAATTATATACATAAAAATGGGTAAGATGGTAAATTTTACATATCTATCACAATTTTGAAATTTAAAAATCCTTACATACACAAAAAGCTATTTTGATTACATTACTTTAGCTCTCCACAGAAATAACTCCACAGAACAATGATTCAATACTGTACTTTTGGATTTTTTTAAAAAGGTTTATTTATTTGAGAGAAAGAGAGAGCCCATGCAGGAGGGGGAAGGGTTAGAAGGAAAGAGAGAGAAAATTAAAGCAGACTCTGCACTGAGCGCAGAACCTGATGTGGGGCTCAGTCTCACAACCTGACATCATGACCTGAGCCAAAACGAAGAGTTGAGTCCTTAACTGAGCCACCCAGGCGTCCCGTATTTTTTGATTTTTAAACAAAGTTAGCATAAGAAATAGTAATCTGAAGATAATTTCTACATGTTTATGAGAATCACCTAGTTCAATTTATGACTGTTGATGACAATGTCCATTGTTTGTGAAATGCCCCAATGATACATTCTCTCTTGACTTTAGTTCTAGGATATTTTACTTTCGTGGTGCATTCTTGCTTGCTTTCTTTATGAGATAACAAGAAATCTACCTTTCTCCTTTGGCTATTAGGAACTGAGAATCACCTTGTATGATGATTTGTGGTGTATTAGCTGTATTCCTTGAAGAATCATTCACCATCTTTAAATAAATAATTCCTGTTTCTACTCACTGTGAACACTATGAGTGAAGCAGCTTGGTTACAATTCAGTGTCTGCAATCCAGACTGCTGGACTTTGTGACTTTAAACCATGTTTCTCATTCCAGAATGTCTTAATAGCATGTCTGTTCCTATCATCTATCACACAGATTCTTGTTGTATTACATTTCTGGAAAATAATTCTCATATTTTTAAAGTTCCTCTAAGGCCTCTCCAAATGCATATCATATATGCCATACTGCTTATGTTTTAAATCCGATCATCTCAAACATATCTTCAAAATTTGGTTTAGAGGTATCCATACAGATATTTTTGTAGTGCAATATTAGACAAAACCAAAAACTTTATTCATATGGACAATGTTCTCCACACATACATCATAGCCCTAGTATTTTTGTCATTTGGTTTCCAAATTTTGGCACTAACTTTTAACTATCTCTTTTTCTTCCCTCAAATATCCAATCAGCTGTCAAAGTCTGTAGTTTCGGTCTTCACAATTATTTTACATCTGATCCTTCCTTTGTAATCTGTGTTACACTCTCCCATCTTCTTTCTTCAAGACTTTGCAGTTACCCCTACCTGGAGTCTCAGTCTATTTGGGCTGCTAAAATAAAACATCACAGACTGGGTTGTAAACAACAGTTTATTTCTCACAGCTCCGGAGGCTGGAATTCTAAGATCAGGGAGCCAGAGTGGTTTGATTCCGCTGAAGCCCTCCTCCAGGTTGTAGATTGCTGATTTCTCACTGTGTCCCCACATGATGGAAGGGGCGAGGGATCTCTCTAGGGTCTCTTTTATAAAGGCACTAATTCTGTTCACAAGGGCAGAGCCCATCTCTAAATACCATCATATTGAGTATTAGGATTTCAACATATAAATTTTGTGGGGACACATTTGGACCATAACACTAGATTATCCCAATATCCTTCCAACCGGAGTCTCTGCCATACCTGTCCTCTGTCCAGTTGGTTCCCTGTGCTGTTGCCAGGTCTGTCTTCACTCTTGGCATTTACACAGGCCTTCCAAAATATGGCTCAAACTAAAGGTCTGGTTCAATTACCACTATTCCTCTAGGCATACCCTAGGCCTAGACAAACTGAAGTACTCACTGTCTCCTCATCATGTCCTGCATTTTCACACCTTAATGCTTTGATTCATGTTAGATCCTGGTGGAAAGTGCTTCTCCCTACCCCATCCCCAGTCTCTGCCACTCAGAAATACTATCCATCTACTATCTGCCACCTCCTTAAACTTTTCCTGATTCTATAGATGAGATCTGTCCTGGGTAAACCTCCTCTGGCCTTTTATATCTTGTTGTCTCTTGTGCCAAATGGCATATTGGTCGTATAGTAAACTTACTTATGTATTTCTCTCTCCTACATAAGCTTCTAAGATTATGAATCATGGTTCTTTAGCTACTTATGTTTCTTTATATTTCCTGCTTAGATCAATGTATTGCTTTCCAAATGTACACAAAAAGTATTTTAATGAATTGAAATTGGCGTAAGTTCAATATTGGCAATATATCCCAAGAAAATAACTCAAAGATGTGTTAAAAAGGGTGCTCTTTGTACAAAAAATGTTTTTTTCAAAACAGCAATTATGTTTATTCGGAATGTTTATTCAAAAATGTTTATTCAGAACATTCCAAACATAAGTAATCCAAAAGCTCAACAATAACAGAATGGTTAGATAAAGTAAGGGCAGGACCCGAATCTAATTCTTCTCCTGTGACTGCCCATAGGGAGTATTTACAGTTTATTAAATGAACGGTGTAACATGGCAACAGGATTTTTTTTTTTTAAGATTTTATTTATTTAACAGAGAGACACAGCGAGAGAGGGAACACAAGGGGGGTAGGGGAAGCAGGCTTCCCGCTGAGCAGGGAGCCGGAAGCGGGGCTTGATCCCAGGACTCTGGGATCACGACCTGAGCCGAAGGCAGACGCTTAAGGACTGAGCCACCCAGGCGCCCGGGCAACGGGATATTATATAGCCAAGTGAGTAAGAAATCAAGTTTAGGAAAAAATAACTTTACAAAACATACGTACTATATCTATTAAAAACCTATGGAAACACGTTGTTAATAATCAGAAGGGCCGAGAGAAAGCCGGCTGTCACATCTGAACAGGAATTTAAATGGCGTCCTCATACATACTTTGATTCTCACAAGCCTGTGAAGTACGCACGCGAGGCATCATTAGCTCCGTTTTATGGGTAAGGAAACTGACCCACCGGGGTCAGCAATGATTGACTAAGGCAGAGCCACGACTCCGCCTACCGGACCTGGGTTCTTTCCCCGCCACTCCTCGGCAAGCTTGATTGGTGCTGGGGGTCTCGGTTTCCTTTATTTCACCCGCCTTCCTTTTTCCAATCCAGCCTAGAGACGCGGGCGGCAGGCGGGTGGCAGGTGTCCGGCGAGGTGCAGGTGCGGCGGTGGCGGACGAACTGCGCCTTAGGCCCCCGCGACCATAGAGTCCGGAAGTGCGGCCAGAGCAGCTCCCGGGGGCGCCGCACGGGCCGAGCCCAGGACAGCGAGGGCAGTGCCTGGGCCGGCCGAATGGCCGTAGTGCTGGCCATCAGGGTGGTCGCGGGGCTGGCGGCAGCGGCGCTAGCGGCCGTGCTCTTGGAGCACTATGGCCTGGCCGGTCAGCCTTCGCCGCTGCCCCAGCCCCGCGCCTCCCGGAGCCCGCACCCCGCGCCGGGCCCCGGAGCCAGCAACATCTTCTGGGGGCTGCAGGTGACGCAGCGGGAGCAGGGCTTGGGGTGGGTGCAGAGGCGTCACTACGCGGTGAGGCGCGGGCAGTTTCCACCGGGGTGCGACCGCCGCGGACCCAAACTCCCGGCTGGGGGCTCTGTCCTTTCCTTGGGGGGGAGGGGGGTTCGTTCTTGCACTGCATCCTTGCCATTTCCTTCCGCCTTGAGAGAGCTGCCTGGTCGCCTGGGTCCGTGCTGCCTCTTCCTGACTCAGATATCTCTGTTTAATACCTGCTTTCGGCAGATATCCGACATTCACCTGAGCAGGTTTCGTGATCCAGGCAGAGCTGTAGACTTAGAGAAGTTCTGTTCAGAAACTATTGGCATCATTCAACCAGCTCTCGTCCTGGCAACAGGTAGGGAGGGTTGCCGTGCTGTCGTGTTGTTCTGTGGTCCGGATGGTAGAATGCTAGCCAGGGCTGCAGCTTTTCACTTCGGGCATGTTGGGGACACTATAGCCCCAGCTCCAGGTGAGTCTTCCTGTAGAGAAGATGGGACATTGTAATTTCCTTTGCCGATGGATAATTGAGTCAAGATCCAAGCTAAATGACTTGCCATAGCAAGGTTTTGTCAAAGCAGTAGAAGCAAGGCTCATGATTCTCGTTAGTATACTGTCTGCTATATTTGTATTCGTTCGTCGTTGTTGTTACAGTTCTGGATTTGAGAGAGAATTAGGGAAAGCCCTTTAACCACAAATGAAGTTTTTTTCTTAATTCCTTTCTTCCTTCCTAACTTCCCTTTTCTTTCTTTTCTTTCTTTCTTCTTTCTTCTCTTTGGCGGGGGGGGGGGGGCAGAGGGAGAGAGAGAATTTCAAGCAGGCTTCAGGCCCAGGGCAGAGCATCCTGACCTGAGCCGAAACCAAGAGTGGGAGACTTAACCGACTGAGCCACGCCAAAGTTATCTTTTTTAAAAAAACTAACTCCCCCCTCCCTGCCCCTCCGGGGCCCCAGACAGCCTCGGAGGCACTCCAGCTTCAGAGCACTCTATCCCCCTTGTCCTGTGAATGACCGCTGAGGAAGACAATGAATGAGGCAAAGGAGTCTCTTCGAAACATCGAGCAGAAGTACAAGCTCTTCCAACAGCAACAGTTCACCTTCATCACCGCTCTGGAGCACTGCAGGGAGAACACCCACGACAAGATCCGGCCCATCGCCAGCATCGGACAGGTGCAGAGCTACACGGAGCATTATTGCAACAACTCCACAGACCAGCGCATTCTGCTCATGTTCCTGGACATCTGCTCAGAGCTGAACAAGCTGTGTCAGCACTTCGAAGCCCTACACTCCGGCACCCCGGCCACCAACAACCTGCTTGAGAAATGCAAATCCCTGGTTAGCCAAAGCAACGACCTGAGCAGCCTCAGAGCAAAGTACCCTCACGACGTGGTGAACCACCTCAGCTGTGACGAGGCCAGGAACCACTACGGAGGTGTCGTCAGCCTCATCCCCATCATCCTGGACTTAGTTGAAGAATGGATCGCCCACTCAGAGAAGCTGCCCCGCAAAGCCCTGCAGCATGTGAGTGAGCCCCAGGCACGCCAGGAAGCCACCGGGGTGGCTGCTCGCCCTTCCTGGACCACAGGCACCCAGCCTCGGTTAAGAAAGCACAAATGTAGGCGACTTACAAAAGACAGCCCCAAACCTAGGGGGAATGACACAGGATGTTTCAAACCTCCCTGGAGACCACCTGGCGGGAAACTGTAACTCAGAGCCGGCAACCTGCTGCGTCCCGTAGTGTGCTTGGTCACTTAACTTGGTCTCCACTGGCCGATCCATTCTTTGGCACCCACAGTCCCCACCACAGATGAACCCCAGAGGGGCCTGCCTAGTATACTGTTGAGAACCTCTCTCCCTCTCTCACTTTCACTTCTAAGCTCTCCTCGCCTCTGAGTGTCAGGCTCTGTGCCAATGAAGAGGACCCCCACTTCCAGTGTTGGTGGGAGCAGGTGTCCCGGGGAGGCTGCTGAGAACTGGGGTCACCGGCCTGCCCAGGTGCTCTGGGAGCTCCCAGCCCGCACCCTGCCGGGCCCGGCCACACTGCAGGTCTGGCTTTCTGGGCAGAGCCGCCGAGCCGGAGGCCTGCCAGCTCCTTTCCCACCACAGCAGCAACTGTAGGCAAGGCTCGGCTCCTGCAAGGTCCAGCTGCTCAGCCTGCCAGGATGCTGAGGGCCGGCACGGTGGACTTCCTCAGTGTGATTAGGTCTCTGAACCAAAACCCAAAGGGGAATGAACCTGCCTTTCCTCTCCTTTACTTGGGAGAGGAACCATGAGAGAAGCCGGAAGAATTCTGATTTTATGGCTCCCATGCAAGGACAGTTTCCTGATTTTCACAACACAGTCAAGGCCCCGACATTATAGAATGTGTCTCTGGCTTTTGAGCTTGCTGGAAGTTCTGACTGACTGTTGGCTTTTCCCTTCACAGGGGGCGACTTAGCTTCTGTGTTCTTGCTTCGTCGGGGGCGACCATCAAGAATAAAAAGTGTTCTCCCCCCCCAAAAAAAAATAACAACCCCCCACTTTTTTTTAAACAGCATTAGTCAATCTTATGTTGTCAATTGTTTGAGGCTTAAAGTGACTTAGGACACTTTTCTTCATCTTTTGGTACTTCTGTGACTTGGGTTCTCTAGAGTCTTCAAACTCCTTTTTTTTTTTTTTTAAGATTTTATTTATTTGAGAGAGAGAATGAGAGAGAGAGAGAGCACATGAGAGGAGGGAGGGTCAGAGGGAGAAGCAGACTCCCTGCTGAGCAGGGACCCCAATGTGGGACTTGATCCTGGGACTCCAGGATCATGACCTGAGCCGAAGGCAGTCGCCTAACCAACTGAGCCACCCAGGCGCCCCGAGTCTTCAAACTTCTATTTGCCCCCTAAATGCATTGTAGAAAAAGTAAAGGAGCATCTGCCATATTTATTGGGGGATTCATATCCTACCCACCTTACTGAAACACCTCTGCTGATATGATGGATTACCAGTCCTTATGTTATGGAAAACCTCCATTTCAAATTTGCATTTAGTTTTCCAGAAATTTTGGTATTTCATTGACCAACCGCACCTTCTAGATTACTTCTTGCTGTAGAAATAACACTTGGCCAGATTACATATCCTGATTTAGGGTGTGGAAAATATGGTTGTCATAGATATCAGGCATCTGCCCAGTGTTGGAATTTCTTATAGTTTGCATTTTTGTCAGAGTTTCACGATGCATTTTGTACTGCTCTCTTTAAAGATAATTTTTTTCAGAACCCATTTCTAATATCACGGTAAGTTAAATAGGTACTTGCTAACCTATAAGAAACAAAGTCTTTGCCAAGAAAATCTCATTTTATAGGGCTCGCTTTGGACATAGATGGACTTACAAGTTGTTATGCTTGTACATGTTGAGTACTTAAGTATCTTTGTTCTTTCAAAGTGCATTTAAAAACATTTTTAACCCCCTTGGGTTTATTTTGCATTGTGATTCAAGTCTTATGTAAATCTACAGGAGACCTGACTGATGCCAAAACAAAGGAACACTTGGGATCCAGGCAGCATGAGGTAGAATGGCAAACTTACCAGGGTATTCTGAAGAAGACAAGGGTCATGGAAAAAACCAAGTGGCTCGATGTTAAAGGAAATCATGGTAAGAGTCAAGACCCACATATAATTAAAACTAGATTTTTTTCCCTTCAAGAGCCTAGATTCTCCAATTTAGAATATAAAATTATAAAATGGGAACATTGTAACATAGTTTTAGTTAGACTGAAGGCCGCAACTCTGAAATACAACTATATTATATGATTTTAAAACTTCAGATGTCACTTTTAGCCTTTGAGGGGAAAGTTGGGATGGTCATTTCTTCTTTACATGAAGAAATGCTTCTAGCAAAACCTATGTAGGAGGGTGTTTAAAAGTATAACTATTTTGGGCTCCTTGCTGGCTCAGTTGGTAGAGCATGCAACCCTTGATCTAAAGTCATGAGTTCAAGCCCCACATTGGGTGTGCAGCCTACAATCAATCAGTCCATACGTATATACATTCATACCACATACATAAATACGTATGTATAGATCAATAGATACACATTTTGCTAATAGAAGCCGCCACCCGTAAGTCCATATACCATATGATTCCATTTATATGACATTCAAGAAAAGGCAAAACTATAGAGAACAGATTGTGGTTGCCAAGGGTTGAGGGTGGGGGGATAGGCCGACTACAAAGAGGCATCATGGGAGAACTTTGGGAGATGTTGGAACTGTTCTGTATCTCCATTGCAGTGAATACATGACTGTGCATTTGTCAAAAACCAAAGAACTATACATTACAGTGAATGAATTTTACTGTGTATACATTAAAAAATTAAAATTGCAAATAAATCTCTATGTATGAGGGGAGAAATGGATAATCCTTTCACATTTTTTACATTATTATTGTCTTGTTAGTAAGGAAATGAACTCTTCAGCAAAGTGTCCTAACAGTAGGTTTGTTTTATAAAGGTTGACTTTCTTATTAGTTGCTAAGTACTTTGTCTCCTTCATTTGATCATTAATTGCTGCTGTGTGCCTAATTATATATATTTTTAAAACTATCATTTTAAACAGATAATTCTGTCTGGTAAAATACACAGTTTTGGTTTGATCAGAAAATGCCTTCTTTATAAATAGTTCTTACAAAGCAGCTAGGAATTATTAATTGATGATGGGATATCTGGCTTATAGCTTTCTCTGGTATACCCTGTAAGTCTGGTCCTGAACTTATGATGGTTCAACTTACGATGGTTTGACCGACGATTTTTTTTTTTTTAAGATTTTATTTATTAGAGAGAGAGCAAGTGTGAGAGAGAGAGAGCATGAGCAGAGGGAGTGGCAGAGGGAGAAGGAGCCTCCTTGCTGAGCAGGGAGCCCAATGCAGGGCTCCATGGGACTCTGGCATCATGACCTCAGCTGAGACCTACGATTTTTCAACTTTACAGTGTATGAAGGTGATACACATTCAATAGAAACTATATTTCGAATTTTGAATTTTTATCTTTTCCTGGGCTAGCGATATGCAGTATGAAACTCTGGTTATGCTGGACACGATCACCAGGGTAAAAAGCCATTAACCTTATAACTATTCTATGCCCATGCTATCATTCTGTTTTTCACTCTCAGATATTCATCATGAGATATTCAACACTTTATTGGCCTTGTGTTAGATGATTTTGCCCAACTATAGGCTAATGTAAGCATTCTGAGCATGTTTAAGGTAGGCGAGGCTAAGCTCTGATGTTCAATAGGTTCAGTGCATAAAATGCATTTTCTATTTAAATATTTGCCACTTAAAATGGATTTGTCTGGACATAACCCCATTATAAGATCTGAATTTATATTTCCCTTTTTTCCTGATCTTAATTAGTGGTACAGGTCAAATTCTTTTGCAATAAAAGCAAGTCTGTACATAATAAAGAAGTTTATTTTTTAACAGCATTAGTCAATCTACTGACTAAGCCAAACTACTGACTTATTTCAAGATGAGATCTTGTGAACAGAGCTTGTCCTTTGGAGGTCATGATAATCTAATTTGACTTGTATAAGCACAAAGGCTTATAGTATGTGTATATATATAGATAGATAGATATGTTTATATATTGTGTTAAGATAGGAGGAAACTAATTTTTATTAAGATTTAACTATAACTGTAGTTCTCTTACGTAGTAAGAGGAAAATTGGACTTAACAGCTTATTCTCTGAAGTTACTAGAAATATAGTGGATTCTTGGAATTCCAAGCTGGTAAGTAATTTTAGTTATTGCAAGCAGGCAATCAAGCTCAATGAAATAATTATATTTCCAGATAAGTGTTCTGTGACATCTTTTACCTTACTCCTTACCATTATATAACTCCTTTCTTACTGAATCTCTACAAGATTTAAGAAGAGACGGTCTTAGGTCCTGTTATCAAAGTGATTAGCTGTTTAGAAACACTTGGCATGGATCCATGTATCAGTCATGATTAAAACAGCAGCAACAGTCCAGTCTTACAACGGCAAATTGATTTATTCTGAATAGTACATAATATCAAAGTATTTCTTATTCTCCAGTATATGGGGTGCCTTAAATTAGTTTCCAGATAATCTGAATTCTGTTACCAAGTTTTAAAAACTATCAGGCTAATTTATTGGCATTCTGCCATTTAGAGATGTTATTGAAAATATTGTCATTTTTCTTTAGTCATTAAGATGTTTGTATTTTTCTTTTTAATATAGATGATGTTTGCTCTTTTTTTTTTCCCATGTGCTTTTTTGGTTTTTTGTTTTTTCCAAATTTTTATTTAAATTCTAGTTAGTTAACATATGGTGTAATATTGATTGGTTTCAGGAGTAGAATTTAGTGATTCATTGCTCTTTTCTTTTTAATTAGATGCATTCAACATTCCAAGTCTGGAGAGTGTCGAGAATTATTACAGGTACTGTAGTGAACAGAATACAGACCATGAAGTAGTACAAGGGGAGTGCAGTCAAGTCAATGAATGGGTGAAACATTTTTTAACAGAACTTCTAGTAACTTAGAATTTTTGTGTATGTGTGTATGACAGATTCAGTTCCTTTTTTCCCCCAAGACTTTTTCTTTCCTTTAATTCCTTTTATCTCATATACTTTATGCTTTTTATTGGCTAATGATACTTTAAATATTTCACACAAACTTTTTTTTTTGCCATTGATACTTAGCAGAAGTCATATTTTTATTAGTCATTTTTTTTTACTTGGATATAATTGATATATAACATATTCATTTTAGGTATACAACACAATGATTCAAGAGTTGTATGTATTGTGAAATGGTAACCACAATAAGTCTAGTTAACACCCATCACCATACATAATTAAAAAAATCTTTTTTCTTGTGATAAAAACTTTAAAAATCTACTCTCAGCAACTTTCAAATATATAATAGAGTGTGTTTGACTGTAGTCACCATGCTATACATCAGAAGTCACTTAGATTAGAGCTTGTTAGGAGAGTACTGTAGATTTTAGGAATACTGAGAAACTGATGCTCTCAGCCTCGCAGTGGCTGAGGCGCCCAGTTGGTCACCCAGTTTGTCACAGAAATATTAAGATTTTCTTTATATGCCATGAATGTGAAAAAGGCTATGACTATGGAAGGCTCTTTGCATTAGAAAACCAGTTCTCTAGTTTCAATGTGTTGGGATTCTTTTAGTTGCAATTTCACTTCTAGTTCTAGGATAGTCCACAGCTTTGTCCTACATTGTCCATCACTCAAGTAGTGAGAATTTGTTGAGAGCCCATTGTTAGCTGGATAGCGTGAGAGATACAAGAGCTAATATGAAAAACTATGGCCTCTATCTTCAAGGAAGTCCAGTTAAGAGAGATAAGAATTGTTTGGGAAACAATTAGAAAAGAACATTAAGGGATGACTGATGAAATGCTACATTATTTGGTAGACATGATAATCACTATGAGAAATCGGAAAGGGCAGAAGTCAGCATGGGCTGGACATAGAGACTTTATCTTATTTTTGAGATATAATTGCAATATAACATTGTATAAGATTAAGATGTACAACATGTTCATGTGATACATATATATATATTGCGATATGAGGACCACCATAGAGTTAGCTAATACCTCGATCACTATCACATAATTATCATTTTCTTCTGGTAGAA